GGCAAGGATAAGGAAGTCAATGTTATCTCAGGGACGTTATCATTTTTATCCAAAATTCTCACTAAAACGGTGCAATGACCCGCCATGGGAGGATGACCTTTGTCCGTTGCGTCAACGCGGATTTTGTATAAATTTACTTGTTCAAAATCCAAATTACCCCGAATCACTATTTCTCCTGTATTTCGATCTATGCTAAAGTGGTCAATAACCATGGCTGCAACAAGGCTATTAAAAGAGTATGAAATGGCCCCATTCGCTCCTTCATCCCGATCAGAAGCATTCAGTCTGATAACTGTTGTTCCGTTGTCTGCGTTTTCGAATATTCTTACTTCGTATTCAGGCTGCTCGAAAGTGGGAGCATTATCATTCACATCCAGCACTGTGACCAGCAGGTGAACACTGCCTGTAAGCTCAGGTTTGCCGCCATCTGTGGCTGTCAGGAATAAGTTGTGTGCAGGAGCATTCTCTCTGTCCAAGGATTTCCTTAATATGAGCCCAATTTGTTTATTGTCATCACTGTTTATTTTCACATCTAGCCCGAAGTATTCGCTAGAACTGAGTTTATAGGTTAAGACGGAATTTGAGCCCACATCTGCATCTGACGCGCCCTCCAGTGGAAACACAGAATCTGGCAGCCTAGATTCGTAAATCAGCACTCTTTGTTCCTCTGCCGGGAACAAGGGCGGGTTGTCGTTAATGTCCCTCACCTCTACGTCCACATGGAAAACCTGCAGCGGCCTGTCCACGATCACCTCCAGGTGGATGCTGCACTCCGCGCTCCTCCCGCACAGCTCCTCGCGGTCTATCCGAGAATTCACAAACAAAATGCCATTCTGCAGATTTACCTCCAGAAGGTCCTCGTGGTTTTTGGAGGCCATCCTGAACAGGCGCGGCACCAGCTCCGCCAGCTCCAGCCCCAGATCCTGCGCGATGCGGCCCACGAAGGTGCCGTGTTTGGCCTCCTCCGGGACGGAGTAGTGGAGCTGGCCGCTCCCCACCTTCCAGGCTGCGAGGAGCAGAAACGGGAGGAGCAGACATTGCTTTCCCAATCTGTCTTCCAGGGTAAACACCATGTCAAATACCTCTTGTTTTATTTCCATTAGAAGATCTTCCGCATAAAGATAAAATACTGTAAGTTCCGGAATTTATTAATCCAATTCTTCTGCGTCCGCCATCATTCAACAGTCAGGGAATGATGCAGTAATAGAAGAAATTTGAATGGTGGCTAGCTATAACTTCATGGTAGACAGCGACATCATGCGGCTCCAAAAGGTAAGAAATTAATTCACATAACAGTGCTATACTATATGTTTTTTAAATGTTATCTTCTTTTCTCTACTTTTATAGTAAATCCTCCTCACGTTTGTAATTTGCACAGGCAGTGGTATCTTAGTACCCTTAGAGTAAGGGATCTAATTATTCACAGCTAAACAATTTTTCTACCAGTATTTGCAACATTAGTATTAGCCAGTTTAGCAAATTTAAGTGTTTACGAAACTACTCTTTAAATCAGAAATGTAAACTATTCTACACGCTTTTAGAAAAGAAACTTACCCACATATGTCTGTCATAGGACGTGCTATTATATAGTGCTCTAGGGAAAAATGTAACTTAAAATCATCAAATTTTGGTTGAATTTTTAAAGCTTTATGGATTGTTGAAGTCCATGCTTTCTTTGTTCAACAAATACCAGATGCTCTTAAGGTTCTTTTGTGTAATGATGGAAGATAAAATTCTAGAGCATATTCTTTATCGCATTTAATTTATCTGCAGCTTATATTAGGATTCTCACTTAAAATATTCTTTTCATATACTTTACCACTTCAATTCTAGTGGAATTTCTACCCATTGTGCTTTGCTGTTTTTGATTCTGCAGCTGTTCTTAAATGATCTCATTCTTTTCTCTCAACTTCAACCCTGTCCTATATCCTTTCCTTTAATTGTTCTCACTCACTTCCAAGTTTTGAATAAGACTTTTATTGAGGTACTTACAAATCCATATCTTCATCCCTTCTTTCTATGTTTCTAATTGTCATTTTCACCTATACATGCTGACTCCTAGAAAACAGCTTGTTAAATATCAAAGCATGACCAATTATTAATAATCCCCAAATTCAAATTTTCAAATTCATATTTTTAATAACATGAGTATTTCCCATGTCACTTATATTACTTTTTAAATTACTCCTTTTCCCTGGCTTGCCTTCTTCCACATCCACCTAAGTCCATCTGTCTTTCACATGTTATCATATTTATCTTTATGAGTACAGCTTTCATTGAATTTTACTAAACCTAGAAATTCCAAGACATTTTAGAAACTTCTAGTAACCTAATATGTAATCACATATTAGGTGATCAACTTTTTGAAGGTTATTTTCAATTACTCTCCAATATGAATCTTATTTTTCTAACAATACAGACCACTTGCTCTTCCTCTTTCCCAATACCGTGTTTGTTTTAGCTGGATTTTTAAATTACATCTACATTTACCTGCAAAAATGTTACCCTCACATAAAAGTCAAGGCCAAATATCAACTTCACCCTTAATTTAACCTTAATGTTATCCATTGGAAGTGATTGAACCCCTCCTTGAAAGAAAATTAGAGCCACCAATAAGACTTTTCAAATTACATGATCATCTTCACCTTACTCCAAAATTCTGATATACAGTAAAATGCCTCACAGATTATTGTAACACAAAAGCCTTTTCTTCCGTGTGAAATTCTATCTTAAAATAATTAACCTGGATCTATTAAGTAGTTCTTATCACTGACTTTCTATTGCAGTTATTTTGGACAAACAAAGGGTTCAATTTCCTAACCAAAAACAATCCCCAAAACAAGAGGTTCCTATAAAAAAGATAAACTGCACAAAATATATATAAAGACTTGATATGTAAAGAGATATATAAATAGTTTATATCACAGAATAAGACAACTTGATTTTTAAAAATTTGACCGTGGTTAACTGTAGATTTACAGAGTGATAAAAACTATTTCTCAATTTCTAGGACTTCCTCAGAGTAGCTCAGGATATTAGGAATATATAAATAGCATCATAGAAGGGTATTTATAAAATTAAATGCATATGAGAATAAAAGAAACAGACAAAGCAACAGAAAGAGGGAATTCACATTTTATCATGTAAAGTGTAGACTAGTTATTACCTATAAACCCACACTTTTCCCCTCAAAAGAGTAGAAAAACGGTTCTCATTATTTCAGATGGAGAGGACACTTGTCTAGAGTGGTCTCAAACATACAACTTTAACAAACAACTCTTTGTAAACAACTCAAGAGGGCAGTTTGTATCATGGTATATTTATTTTTTTAATCTAAAAATGAAAAGTAACAACAAGCAGTAAAATTTCCCAACCAAAATATAGCAGAATTTGCACAACTGAGGGGGTTCACAATTACTCCTCATCAATATAATAATTTAGGCTGGGCATGATGGCTCATGCCTGTAATCCCAGCACTTTGGGAGGCCGAGGCGGGTGAATCACCTGAGATTAGAAGTTCAAGACCACCCTGATCAACGTGGTGAAACCCCATCTCTAGTAAATACAAAAAATTAGCCGGGTGTGGTGGCACATGCCTGCAATCCCAGCTACTTGGGAAGATAAGGCAGGAGAATTGCTTGAATCTCAGAGGCTGAGATTGCACCATTGCACTCGTTTGGGCAACAAGAGGAAAATCCCGTCTCAAAATATCTAATATATATTAGATATATAATTTATAAATCGAAAAATATGCAAGTTTCCAGAAAATTAAATCATTGTTCTACTAAATGTTAATGTTAAGGGAAAAATAACTGATCGTATTTCTACACAATGGAACACCATAGATCCAAATAAAAGAAAAACAAATCTACTTCAGTAATGATAATTCATGATCATCAAGATATGTTAGTAAATGAAAAAAGCAAGATTAAAATCAATACTCATATGTTTTTTAAGGGGGCAGGGAAGTTTATTAGCATATGATAAAAATCTCTAGAAGGATACCCAAGAATGTTTTGATTTCATGAAGGAGGTGAAAGGGAAAATTTCACTGTCTTCTTTTGCACCTTTAGAACAGTAAACTATGTATATGTGTTTCCTATTCAAAAGATCAATAAAATGAAAAATGTAATTTTTAAATTACAGTTATCAAATTCATCATGGGTATACAGGTGAACTGCTTAGGCAAAGTTGAAATAAACCATATACTGCAAAAATATAATTGAAAACAGAAACTAAATTAGTGTAATAAAATAATAATTTAAATTCAACAGAAACAAAAAGGTAAAATTGGAAGGGTGGTGTTAAAACATTTTTATAGGCCAGGCACTCTTGCTCAATCCTGTAATCTTAGTACTTCGGGAGGCTGAGATGGGAGCATGGCTTCTAACTAGGAGTTCAAGAACAGCCTGGGCAAAGTAGCAAGACCCCTATCTCTAGAGAAAAAAAAAAAACTTTAATTAGCATGTGCATGTAGTCCAGCTACTTGGGCGGCTGAGATGGGAGGATCACTTGAGCCCACGAGTTTCAGGCTTCAGTGAGCTATGATCAGGCCACTGCAGACTGAGCAATAAAGGGTCTTTAAAAAATAATAATAAAATAAAATAAATTTTCATGGAGTCATAAACTGAGACTTTGAGAATGACTCCAAACTATGTCTTACAATTATTATCCTACATTTTTAGAGATGCGAAATTCAAATGCTAATATAATTTTAAAAATACTTAATATCACAGAAAGTTGATGAATCTATTACCCTAACAGAAAAACATCATAAAAAGCACATAGTACATGAATTAGTGCAATAATTGTGTACTACAATATTTATGTACTAGGGCGTAATTTAAAAAAAAAAACTGGGTGAATGTGACACTTAATATTTAAAAATTGGGAGGGAAAGTTGGATGTTAATATCAGAAAACTCACGTTGTCTGCAGAGGCGGGACCCTGAGGAAGGCTTGGACTGAAAGCCATGAGGTCCGTCTTGGGTGGGGCTTCTCCAGAGCACACCCTCTCCCTCCTCTGCTGTGAGCAGGACCAGCTCCCCACCGCGCTGGAGCACACCAGAGTGGGATTGCCCCGCGTGCACACGACCTCGGTGGGCGGCGCCGAGCACCGCAGCGCGGTGTACAGCAGCAGCGTGAGCACCAACAGGCTGGACACCGCACAGATGGCGATTATCAGGTACACGTTGACATCCACCAGGGCAGCCTCGGGACCCACAGCGCCTGCCGACGCCCGCGATGAGGCCTTCGGCGCCTGGCCACTTTCCACCAGCGACACCAGCACTGTGGCTGTGGCTGTCAGCGCGGGCTCTCCATGGTCCTTCACCAGCACCAGAAGGCGGTGGCGCGGTGCTTCGGTCTCATCCAGAGAGCGTGTTGTGCTGATCTCGCCTGTGTAGAGCCCCACGCGGAACGGGATGCGCGCACT